TTCACGAATGAATTAAATTAAATATTTTTCATATAAAACACCAATAGAACTAAAAAAAATGTTCGAGTCAATTTTTAAAATGCCACCCCTACTAAAGAGCCGCTCTAGGCACGTACCTAGCTCGCCTATACCTTGAGCCGGCCCTGGCGATGGGTGATATTGTTTAGAATTGTTATGGTGGACGTTTGATGAATTAGAGGATTATGGTGATATTTTAGTTTGTTATGGAATTTTTTGTAATGATTAGTTGCTAGTTCATTGACAGTTGGTAGTTGAAGGTCATTATGAAGATTATGATTTGTTGAGTACCAGGGGGTATTTGTGAAAATTCTTAAAACTATTGATTGAAATTATTGTTATGGTCTGATGTTAAATGGTTTGGCAGGTCCCTATATTTGTATCCCATACGACCAAACTGGTCTGATTAAACTTTTGTATATGAGCATTTTATTTGCTAGGTTAATTTTTAATTTGAGGATAGGGCGAAGTAAATGCAGCCGGATGTTTGCTTGTTTACGTTTTAATTGTGTGTGGTGTGACCATGTCAATCTTTTGTTTAGGATTATGCTCAAGTACTTTGTCGAAGACTGGATAGGAATACATTTGCCATTTAGTATAAGAGGAGGAATTTCATTACGTCATAGTGTGAAAATTACTTGTACCGATTTAGCCTCATTGATTTTAATTCTTCAATTGTTAGCTCAGGTAGTTATGAGATTTAAGTGGGATTGTATATAATCAGAAGCTACATATGCATCAGAGTTCAAAGATAGGATTGCTGTATCATCGGCGTAAGTTTCAAGAATAGTATTGTTGGTTGATGGAATGTCCAAGGTGTAGACGTTGTAGAGTAAGGGTGATAAATCACTTCCTTGTGGGACACCAGCTTCAATTGAGTGTAAGATAGAGTTGCTGTTATTAATACGTACGGAGAATAATCTGTTTTTTTAAGTAGTATTTTAAAATTAGATAATAAGGTGCAGGTAGAAAATATTTGTGCAAGTTATTATGCCACACTCGATCGAACACTTGGGAGATGTCGAGAAAGACTCTTGAGCAGAATGGTCTTTTCTCGAAAGAGGTAGATATGTGATCAGTTATTCTGTGTATTTGGTGGATGGTGTTATATTTGGTACGGAAACCAAATTGAGTTACTGACAATATGTTGTTTTTGTGGATAATGGCTGTAATACGTTTTAGTAGTAGTTTCTTGGATAATTTACCAAGTGTAAGTAACAGGCTGATTGGTCGATAGGATGTAATTGCTTGGGTTTTTTGGTTTGGAAATCATGACGTTAATTGAGTATTTCCATGTTGGAGGGAAATGAGATAGTCTCAAAATGGCATTGCAGATATGGATTAACAGAAGTATTGATTATTTTGTATGATGTTTAGTTATTTTATTGGTGATTAAATCGTGACCTGGATACTTTTTAGGGTGTAACCTGTTAATTGTTGTTTTTGGAGTGATTGGTTAAGCTGGTAGTGATGTTGGTAGTGGAGCACACAAAAAAGAATGAATTGAATTTTCATGGTCATTGTTTGATAGAGTGGAAGGATGGGGAGTGAAAGTTTCAAATAATTGGTTTCCAAAGAGTTTTATTTTTTCGATGTCGGATGACGCTAATTCGTTGTTTGGGCATACAAGTGGAGTGATAGTGTCACGTTGGTTTATTAATGCTTTGGTGGTACACCAGATTGAGTCATTTGATGGAGCTAGGGATTCTAGATGCGATTCGAATTGAGTGGATCTATGTTTGGACAGTTCAGTTTTTAGAGTATTTGTTATCTGGTTAAATACAATTTTGTCAATTGAGTATCTTGAGTTTTGCCAGGTAGCTCTAGCTCTACGTTTGGCTTTTATTAGTTCTATAATAAAGATTGGAAGGGTATTCGATTGTTTATTTTGATTTGAAGGATTTGGAGTAACTGATGAGGATGAAGAGATTGAATTTTGAATGGCAATAGTTAATTGGTTTACTATGTTATTTATTTGAGCGTGTGTTTTTAATGGGATATTTAATGATATTAGTTTATCTAAATAATATTGGAACTGATCCCAGTCTATGAGACCAGATCTGAGAGTCTGTCTGGTGTTAAGTTCCGGTATTGCCTCATAGGTTAGAAGTACAGGAGTATGATCACTAGATAGCTCGTTTAAGTTTTTAATGTGTGTATTGAGATGCCTCGGAATTTTTGTTAAGAAAAAATCTAATATATCAGGTAATCTATTCGTATAGGATGGCCAATAAGGGCTTATCGAGAGAAATAAAAGTGATACTATTTTTTATAATAGAGTTGTATAGTATTCGTCCACGCGTGTTTGTGTATCGACTACCCCAACTGGTATGTTTAGAATTAAAAACACCACCAATAATGTAAGAGATACCTAGCTATTGAAAAAACGATTTTAGTTTTGGTTCTGAAATTTGTTGGCTTTGGTAGTTTACAACATTGTTTTGTTTGGGGAGGAAAGAAATAGACGGATGATATAGTTATAGGAATACAATTATTGAAATTGATTGATACATTTGCAGCTTGTAGATATGGTTTATTTATGCTTTGGAGTTTGGTGTAAAGGATTGAATATTTGATTAAAATAGCTGCACCCGCGTGCGCTGATCTATCGGGATAATCTGCACAAATTTTTTTATATCCGTTTATTTTAAAATTTGTATTTTTTGTTAGATGAGTTTCCGAAATAAGAGCTAAATCTATATTTTTGTTATGTAAAAAGTAGTAAAGCTCGTTTGCGTGTTTTTTTAATCCATTTGAGGTCAATAAAAAATAATGGCAAAGGGATTTTTGTTAGGTTTTGCAATACATTTGTAATATTTCGCGCTATATGACCGTTTTGTCTGAATTTTTCTTTGATAAATTCGATTTTTGTTGATGGGTGTAAGTTTCGAATCACTATGCGGTACGCTTTTTCGTCTTTTAATTGACATGTATAAAAATCGACGTTTTTTCTTTTAGATATTTTATAACTGATCGAAAGGAACTTATTGTTTCTGTTTGAAGTTGAAGGCGTTTGTTGTGCTTTTGCGTGTAAATTCGGTTGTGGATTCGATTCTCTTTTTATGTTAGTGCAGAAAGAACTGAAATCATTTATTTTGATTTTGATAAATATTGGTGGTGGTTTTTTATCTTCTGAGGCTGGGACGTCTTCGTCCATTGTCTCGATTTGATCAACTTTGTCAACTTGAGACAAAGGAGCGTAACTATTTTTAGTGACAAATTTAGAATAGGATTGATTTTAATGCTTTTGGATTTTGGAGTTTCCTGTGGAATTAAGATTTGAGCGCTTTAGTTTTCTTGGTGAAGTTATTTCTACCCAGTCATATTTAAAGACACCGTCTTCGGATAAGATATTTTCGGTATTTAATGTTACATTGCAAGACATTTCAGTAAAATTTGATTTGTTTATAGTGTTTTGATTTATTATTTTAATTAGCAATACACATTTGTTATTTCCTACGAAGTTTTTGTTTTATTGGACAGTGGGTTGCATGTTGATAATATTGCTATCTAGTAATTAGGCGATGATTGCGAGACTATAGGATTTAAATTGCGTGCGCAGTTCAAAGTCCAAGTAGTGTAATTAACTTATTGATATGTAGATTTTCGATTATAGATTTGGTAATACGTTTAATGTAACGATAATACATACGTTAAATTGGCTTGCGTTTTTCCTACATGAAGGAAGATCCCTTAACAGGGGAAGGTGAAGTATTATTAGTTACGTTATTAGTAATAAATGTCTACCTTTATCAAAAAAAAAAAAAAAAATGTGTACAAGAAAGTCGAATTAAATTTTTATGAACGTTTTATAAAAACTTTATACATAATATATATTTTAAAAGTGTATTGTATTATATTGTACAATGCTATAATAACAATTAACACCAAATTAAGTTTGAAAAAAGTTAAATTATATACTAATATATATTAATATATACTTATATATAATTATTACCTTTTATTCCTGTGACTTAAGATACTTCTGTCCATGCTTTGGCTGTTATAAGCCTATCTCTATATTTATTACTTTTTTTGTTCCACAAAACAGTGTGTTTTTGGATTTTAGAAATTAACATTTCTGTTTTTTCAACATCTGTGTACGACATGGCAGTAAAAAATGTGATTAATTAATAAAAAACAAATTAAGTAATCAAAACAAATCTACTCTTGGCTGCGACGACGCATATCGTATGGAGCGAAAAACAAAATATTTTGTATTTCAAATCTACGACTGCGGTCCGATATCGTGTATTCCACGCATGCGTCGGCAATTAGAACAGTCTGATATATTTCTGAATGTTTGTTATTATTAGAAATCGCAATGCGACGGAAGCATTGCGATTTACGATGCGTGCATGCACCAGCTAGGATATAGCGTAATTCTAGCCATAATACTGATGATGAAAGTGATTCAGAACTGCATAATGCATCTCTTTCGACTATTTTTCTGCAAAATATTAGTTTACCATAGACTAATTACTCCAAATATTTTTTTACAAAAGAATTTGAAAAGTATTCCAAAGACTTTTTTAAAGTACTTGAGTAGTATTCGAAATACTATACCATTAAAGTATTTAAGTAGTATCTTAAATACTTGAAAAAAAAATGTATTTGAGTATTTACTTCAATACTTTTTAAAATTATTCTTTGCAGCTCTGGGTATCTGTAATGGATAGAGAAATAAGTACATTTTGCTGTTTAAATTATTGAAGAAAACAAAATTACCATTAAAAAGCAAATATTTTTCAATGAAAATCATAAAATTTCATGCCAAGTTGATAATAAAGTTCTAAATAATAATAGACATGATAAAAAACAAATCTGTAATCGAGTACCCTCTCACTTTACCCTGGTAGGGAAAAAAATTAAACAAAAATTAGTTTATCGAATATGTAGTAATTCGTGTGATACGTAATATACCTTATCTATGGAAATGATAATAATATATAGTATCAAATTCTGATTATTAGAAATTAAAGTTGATAATGAACCGGTATTCGAGTCTTGACTTCTGTTATTTTAATTGAATTACAATTTATTGAACATTACATGTTTATATTCATACATTTTTCAATATTTTTACCCATATTAGTAATTAACATGTCTAATAACACAAAGTTGTAACATAATTATACGATACCGTTTGAACATGATGTTTGTTACATCTATTCGACATTTGAAGCCTGTATTATTGACTCGCTCACTTGCGTCGAATAAACACTATTGTGACTGTTCAAGGCAATACGATGTGATCATTGTAGGTGGTGGCCATGCTGGGACTGAAGCGTGTTCGGCTGCTTCCCGAATGGGAGCGTCTACGCTGTTGGTAACCCATAAGAAGTCATCTGTTGGTAATAATTATAGTTTTATTTAATTCTTTCACATATTCCTTGCATTTTTTATGTTTTAGGAGAAATGTCGTGCAACCCATCATTTGGTGGAATTGGAAAGGGGCATCTGATGAGAGAAATTGATGCATTGGATGGACTTTGTGCAAAAATTTGTGATCTTTCTGGTGTTCACTACAAAGTACTCATTCTATAAAACTAGAATATTTATTATAAAAATAATTTTAAGGTCTTAAATCGTAGAAAAGGACCAGCTGTATGGGGTCTTAGAGCACAAATTGATAGACAACTGTACAAAAAACATATGCAAGAAGAGTTATTTAAAAATACACCTAATCTGAAAGTTATTGAAGGATCTGTTAACAATATTTTGCTAGACAACAATAATCAATGCACTGGAGTTTTATTAGGTAGTTGGATTTATTTATTTCAAAAGTTTAAATTAATTGTTTAGATAAAACTGTATTTTTTAGAAAATGGTACAATATTAAAAACAAAATGTATTGTACTAACTACTGGAACTTTTTTAAATGGTGAAATGTATAGTGGAATGACTACCAGACCAGGGGGCAGAATAAATTCTAGGTCTTCTATTGAATTAGCCAATACATTAAAGAAATTAGGATTTACAACAGGAAGAATGAAAACAGGTACACCACCTCGAATTGAAAAACAATCTGTTAATTTTACCAATTTAAATTATCAGCCTGGTGATAATAAACCAACACCGTTTTCATTTATGAATGATTCAGTGTGGCTTAAAGTAAATAGAATATACTATTACTAAGTTATATTAAATACATTAATTTAGTATTATCATTTTAAATAGCCTGAAGACCAAATACAAACTTACCTAACATATACCAACAGTAAAGTTCACCAAATTGTTATTGATAATTTGAACATCAATCGACACATTAAAGAAGAAGTGAAAGGCCCTCGATATTGCCCTTCACTAGAATCTAAATCTCTTAAGTATTTATTACATACTTAAATAATACAATTTATAATTAATAATTAGTACCAAATTCTTATAATAATTTTTGTGCAATATTTGACAGGTTCCGTGATCGAAATCACCAAATATGGCTTGAAGTGGAAGGCTTAGATAGTGATATAATTTATCCAAACGGTCTTTCATGTACACTACCTGAAGATTTACAAGTAAAGATGATAAGAAGTATAGAAGGATTAGAAAATGCTAACATCATTCAATATGGTATAGTACAATATTTTTAAATTAGAAATATACTTATAGTATGTATTTAGGGTACGGAGTAGAATATGATTATGTAGATCCACGAGAACTCTATCCTACATTAGAAACCAAAAAAGTAGGTAAATTATTCTTTGCTGGGCAAATAAATGGTACAACTGGCTATGAGGAAGCAGCTGCTCAAGGTATTCTAGCTGGAATAAATGCTGGTGCTAGTGTAAGTGTAAAATTTATTTTATTCAATAACTATACTTTAAGCCAACTTTAGCAATATTACCCATCCCTCGCCATTAAGTACTAATCTGGATGTTGTGTCAACCATTTCCACGCCCTTTAATTTCAATAAAACAAATTAAATATCTTTTACTCTTAAAATTCAGAATTTAATACTCATTAACCAATTCTACATCCTCAACTGTTTCCTATTCTATCAATACCAGAATTATCAATAATTCTGCTTAATCTACATTAAGAAGGAAAATATTAAATACTAATCCTTACCTACTCTCTTCTTTTATACTAAAACCGTTAAAAATAGAACCCTACTTTTTAGAAACATTTGACGCTCAGGGTTCATGCCAGACTTTATTACATATGGCAACGCTTGTATCTAAACCACCTGTCTATTAAAAAATTAAAAGAGATAAAATTGGAAAATTTGTTTTGCACAATCACAAAAATAGTAGAATACAAAATAAATATTTTACAACTTTTTGTCTTTGTGTACTGTTTTAATATTAAAATGTCTTAAGATAAACAGTCTTTTAACAGTCAGTTAAAGAGAGTTAATTATCGGAATTTGGTGTCAATATGTTTTTGGCAGAAGGTTAAGTCCTATACTGTAAGTATTGTGGTGTTAAAGAAGGTTGTGAAAAACAATTTAATGTTACGCAATATTTAAATGATTTATATATTTTATAAATAAATCACTTTAAATAAATATTAGAGCATATTATTAGTGCATTTCATAGGGTTTTTTATTGCATAAGTATTTGCATATGTCGTGTTTTTTTTAGAATTATAAGTCCTCTACCCTACTCATCACACATCTTCTTTCATTGCAAGTCCTTTCTAGATTTTGTAACATTTCGTCCACTATCTTTAATTTTAGAAAACTTGTTCTCTCCTCCCCTTTTGGATCATCCAACATTCGCTCCACTTTTACTGGTCTTCCTCAGGGCATCTGTCTCAGCCCAATACTGTTCAATATCTACATGAGTATTGTTAAAAAGTATCTCTCTTTGTTCAGTCACAAATGTCTTATTTATACTTACGATTTATTTATCTTCTCATCAAACAAATCTCTTAACCTTGCTATAAAAAATCTCAACTCTGCCCTTAAGAATCTAAGTGCTTTTAATTAAATCTAAGTAGCTTCCCAAAAATCCAAATCAATTATTTTTACACAACATAGGTTTCTAAACCATCCTAATATATATCTTAATAATAATATTATTAATTTTGCTTTTAATGTCACTTATTTAGGTATCACTCTGAACCCTAAACTTTGTTGGCTACTATATAATACATCATCCACAGCATTGGCTTCCCAATGATCTAACTTTCTTATAACTATAATTAATACTTGATGGAACTCCCATCCCATAGGTTTTTTATCTATTATACACTCCATATTTGATTATGAGTACTTTCTTTTTGCCTCAGCTTCCCATTCAATTTCAAAAAAAAAACAATAAGCTTAAAATTGCATGCCGTAGAACCATACTGGGAAATCTACTTCCTATCCAGCCATTAAGATTAAATCTATTTGCCCACCATTCAGTATCAGATGTCGATTGCTTACATGCAGATTTCTTTTGAAATCAATATCATAGAGTGAGCACCAAATATTCCATATATACTACTCATTGTATCTTAGTGATGTTCCTTAATCTATGCCAGTATTATCCATTATTGTTAATTCTGTTTCAAATTCTTCAATTTAGTTCAATAATTCACATTTAGATATACCATATATTATCTAATTTAATCATTTATGTATAGACCTTTTAATCTCTTACCTAGACACTCATTTTAACTCGTCCTAAATAACTTCATCTTGCACACTTCATTTAAATTAATGTATTTGTGACCTACATATTTTTTGTGATTGCCATGCTCTATAAGCTAAACGCCAAATTTTAATAAATTCTCATTCAAATCTCACCATTTATTTTGATATACATTTCATACTCAATACAAAAATTGTAATCACTTTTATTTTAGAAGCTGGCTTTAAAATATAAAATACCTGTAATTTATATTCCTTATAAATGCTATTTGTAATTTTTGAGCTATTATAGTTTTATACTAGTAGTTATAAAAAATGAAAATAAATTGTACTTCATATTAAAAATGTTATATATTCTCGTAGGCCTTAAACAAAAATAGTTTGACACTAAGTAGAACTGAAGCATATATTGGTGTACTTGTTGATGATTTAACAACACAAGGCACAGATGAACCCTACCGTATGTTCACTAGTCGAGCTGAATTTCGTTTACATCTAAGACCCGATAACGCAGATATAAGACTGACACACAAAGGTTTTTTTAACAGAAATATAACTAAGAAATACTATTGTAATAAAATTAATATTATTTTTTAGGTTACAACATTGGTTGTGTTAGTAAAAAACGTTACGATCAAACATCAAAAATATGTTCTGATTTAGAAGATGGTATCAAACTATTGAATTCAGTTTCTCAATCCATGTATAAATGGAAGAAGTTATTAGGTTTAAAAACATCTAAAAATCCTGATTTTAAAACGTTTGTGTATTTTACTTTAAAATTATTATTTATTATTTTTTAAGAAATGAAAAATATTAGATTTATTTATATTAAATTATGCTTTTTACAGAGCTTTTGAAATACTAAGTTTATCCACAGATGGTATAACAGTAGAACAATTGGAAATGATTCTCCCAGATAAATTTGGTGGAAAATTTGAAAATAAAAGACTGAATGAACGTTTAAAAATTGAAGCTATATATCAAGCATCTATTCACGATCAATTAAATGATATAGAACAAGTAGAACTTGATGAATTACTTCTTGTACCAACGAATCTAGATTATAGACAGTAATTATATTTTCTTATTTCTTAATCATTTATAACTTGTAATATTATTTGTTTTATATAATGTTTTTTTTATTGATAGTCCATCACTCAGTATTTCAAAGGAAGAAATTGAAAAGTTGTCTTACATTCAACCACAAACAGTAAGCAATTACATTGTATAGTAAAGTATATTAGCAATAACCCATTAATTTTATTTTTAGATTGGAGCAGCTAGTCGAATACCAGGAATTAAACCTAGTTCTATTTTAAGATTATTACACTACATTAAAAGTCAAAACATGAATAAAGCAATAATTTGAAGTTGCATATTCCTGTGTTTTGTTTTATTTAATAAACATCATGTATTATAATCTATTATTCAATTTTTTATCTACCAAGATGTTACTGTTTAATAAATTTTAATTCTTAATTAAATATGTCCATTTATTTATATTCTATGTATTACTTTTCTGGTAGTTTTTCATAATCTAGGTTTAACTCATAAATTACCCTGGTTAGATCCTTACAATGTGAAGTATTTTTTTTTTTTTTTTTGTTATCGGTAACGACCTCCGAACTGCGTTAGCAAAACGTAGAGGTTGCTACCATCGTTTATTAAATAAACCAACAGTAGTGATCTAAGAAAAAGTGGCACGACGGTCCCTTACCTATTCTTCTTTACACTTTACGCTTAACTCTATGTGAGGTATACAATGTTTACAATATTAGGTATTACATGGAAGAATCACCACAGTTTAATAATGAATGCACAGTCTTTTATGTCTAGATAATATAATTTATTTTAAAATATTTAGTATAAAAAAAGAGCGAGACTTGACAGTCCGGGTGAATTATTATATTAGTCTATTAAGCTTAAACCAATATTCCATTGTTCTGAAAAAAGCAATTCTGAGTGAAAAAAAATAAAAAAATTCTTGAGTGGATCAGTTTAAATTTTTAAAGATGAGAAATAAAGTAAAAGAACCCAAATTTCTGAATAAGGTAGGTTAAACTTTTAATATTTTAACTTTTATAAAAAATCGAACATTCCAAGTATATAAAAATTATAAACCTCATTAAAATAATTAAAAACTATAAATTTGTTAAATTACTAATATAGTTTAATTAGATTTTAATTAGAATTTAAATTATATTATATAAGTTAAAAACTGTTTTATTACAGTCATCTTTACTCAATTTAATAAATAATTATAATTCTTAATTTAAATTACGATGATAATATTCAAAGTAGTTAAATAGTTAAGTGGTTTAAGTAAGGCGTGATTTGGGGGATTCAAATTCATCATCAGGTATATAAATAAAGTAATAATATATAAATAAAATAGTGATAAGTTGATAAAATTGCTACACTTTATTTATTTATTTAACTATTAAGAATTCGAAAATAGTTTCCTCCCCCATTTTCAAAGTACCTAACTAACTAGAAACTAACAAACTGACTAACTTTTTACCAACTTGACAGCATTTTCTATCAGAATTGTTGATCAAAGCAATCGTGTAGAGAGACAAAAAAACACATTTGTGTCCGACAGAGGTTTAATTTTTTCCTTTAGGAAAACCTTTGTAACACATTTTAATTATAATTTATTACGTTTAAAAATAACCAAAAAAGCTAAATATTTATAGAAATATGTGTACTTTGTGTAATATCTTTAATCTATATCTGGGACCATGCGATTCTTTGTTATTCTTTGGCTCAAAAAATTATACCTAACATCTGCTCCGCAATTTTTTCTACAATTTAAAAACCATATGGCAATTTGACAAGTAAGTACCTAGTTCCGCAGATGTCTCAAGGTATAGACGAACTAGCCATCTGCTTAGAGAGGCACTTTAGTAGGAACAGCATTTTCAAAATTTTCAAAATCGATTTGTATATTTTATTATTTCTATCGGTATCAGAAATCAAGTCTGGAGTACATTTATAGAAACAAGTTAATAAAACTATACCCCAATACTTATGTGATATTAAGAATTATATTGATTAAACTTATAACTGCTGGAACAGTCAAGAGGAGTTTCACAAAACTTTAAATATTAAGAAATTATTTGTAATCAAATATATTTCAAGACCGATTAGTCAATCTTTTTACTGAAAGCGAAATCGCTGAAGGATTCAACATGGATAAATTTATAAAGAGCTTTGTTTCACTAAAAGCAAGAAAAGTCGATTTTAAATAAAATAAAATTTGTTTTATTTTATTTTATTAATATTGCTATTATAATGATTTGTTTAATTTTTCAATATTATGATAAATGTTTAGTTATTTGTAAGATTAAAAGTAAAAAATATTTTAAAAAGCAATAGATATTTGATCTTTTTGTCATACATTTTTAGAAGAATTTATTTATAAATCCTTGTTAACTACCAGATTATTATTCAATTTTTGATCCTTTTTTTCTCCAAAACAATTTCAGTGGAGCGTCAATTATTCACACTACAAAATTGTTGTTTACAAATTTATTTTTAGTTTAATTTAATTTAGTTTTATCATTCGTTATGTTCTTTTTATCGTGTAAATATTATGAAGTGCGTTTTATTTTTATATTATGTATGAATGTCAAATTCAGTATTATATCTAGTAAATTAGTTTTTAACTTTATTTTTAAACTTTTAATGTTTATTTGATTATCCGCACCCCCTCGGTCTCAATTAGTGCGGATAATCGACGCTCCACTGTATTGTTCAGTAAATGTATATTCAGTGGCGCCAAATGAAATTGAAACTGCCAGTTCAAATAATTAGATTTACCCATTTACCCACCCATTAAAACATTTTTTTTAAACATTTTTAATAATTAAAGATTTTATATATATTTTTTTAAATAAAAAATACTTACAAAAATTAATTTATATTTTTAAATGATCATTTTTATTATTTTTTTAACATTTAAATTTCCTAAGCAGTTCAATTGAATTACCTGGAGTACGTGTTCGGCACCTCTGAATATATTAAATTAACATTACATTTATTACGATTTTAATTTTGAAATGGTTTTGTAAATTATGTCTCATTTTTAAAATTCAAATTCACATTGAAAATTCTAATAACCTGTAGTAACCTAAGTATAACTGTTATTTTCGATATATTTGTATATATTACCACCACAAAAGAAATGTAAGATTATTTTGTTAGTGAAATTTAAAAAAAAAACGCGAACCTCCCCTTCAACAAAAATAGTATTACTTCATACAAATTCGATTGTGTAACTAACATTTACATAGGAATATAAACGTATGGTAGTTTTTAAACTTAAATGTCTGTTTGATCATAATTCTAATACTTTATATAATTTTAAATTGGTAGAATTGGCTTAGATAAAGAATAATTATGTTAAGATTTTATTCAAATGCTGTTTATATTATACTACAATTTTAGTTATTATGATGAATATATCGTGTGAATGAAGCTAATAAATAATAATTGTCAGTATTCCTAGCTAAAAAGATGATAAATTATTAACAACGTGAACATGACCACAATAATTATTAATGCAAATAAAATGATTCAGATATTATGCATTTTCAATTACTGATGACGTAAACATTACAGATTAGAATCATTGTAGAGTAATGCATACTATTGAATGCGCGTGCATGTGCAGTACTGCGATGCAATTTTAAAATACTTTAAATATCTCTTAAGTAAATAGTTTTGTACAGTGGCAGTACCAGGGATGAATTAGGGAGAGTTTGTAATTTGCATCAAATTAAAGATATGTATTTTGCACCAAAATAAGGGTATGTAATTTGCACCACCCTCAGGTAGTCGAAAATAGAATTTGTAATTTGCACCAAAATGATTATTTATTTTTTCGATTATCGAATATTCGATTTTGAAATATTCGATTTTTCCTCGGTATCTTCGTAGACGTCGAGATTAAATTGACACGAATGACAACAATAATTTTTCAGAATTTTTCGCCTTATCTGGTAATATTTTGACGTTTTACGTCCAATTATCGGCCATAATCGCGTTATATATATTTATATAGTTTATATCGATTTATTATTTTGATCAAATACTAAGCTACCTTTACGTTTAGTCTTGCCGTTTCGTTGTAATACGTAAGTTAACGTAATATTTTTGTAGTGCAGTTTTTAATATTTTTTTCTTGAAATATGGAAATTAAGCTAATTAAAAGTAATCGCGCGGAAGATATTTTAGAATACAATAACCATACTTTTTATTTTGCTTATAAAACAAAAACTACGAATATAATTCATTGGTGTTGTACACAGAAAAAATGTTCAGCAAAATTGTTTACTACAGGTGAAAATATGACGATTGTCCATGATGAAAGTGTACATATTAATCTTGACGAGAAAAACTAAAATGTTTATAAAATAAATCAATTGTGTAAAATAAAAGCAAGGGAATCACCATATGAAAAACCGGCCAAAATTTTAATAAATGTAGTGCAAAATTCAACAGTTTCTAATGGTATCACTACTAAGGATATTTTTGATTTAAGACATAATATATATAATACGAAGAGGAAAATATTGCCAAAATTTCTAGTATCACTGAATGAAGTACATTCAATGATTTCTTATGTAAAAGTGAAACAATTCATCTTGATTGGATATTCGATTATTGTCCGAAATTATTTACTCAACTTTTTACTTTACATGGATATTTTAATAATAATTACGTTCCGCTTGTATTTGCGCTGTTACCAAATAAAACAAAACAAACGTATACACATTTTTTAAATATTTTGGTACTTGAGTGTCAAAATGTTGATCTAATATTAAAACCTAAAACAGTTATATGCGATTTTGAAGAATCGATTCATATCGCATTAAAAGAAATTTAGATAAATGTGAATATCTTTGGATGACGTTTTCACTTAACGCAGTCTTGGTACAGAAAAGTACAATACTTAAGACTGTGTAAAGTGTATAAAAATAAATAAAACCCCCGAAGGTGAATGGTTGAATAATATTTTTGGGTTAATATTTTTAAATCCTAATGAAGTGGGCTCATATTTTGTTGATGACTTTATGTCAACAATACCATCTGATATTAAATTTCAAATGTTTGCTAACTATTTGACTGACAGTTATATAGACAACAATTCATTATTTCCACCGTATATTTGGGCAGTTGCATCATCCCTATCATCACTTACAACGAATACATGTGAATCCTTTCACAGTAAATTCAACTCAGAATTTTATCGTCCACACCCGCAAATTTTCAGTTTCATTAAAGTTTTAACAGATTTTAAAACAGACACGTACGTAAAACTATCAAGTTTATATATAATTCCGCGAATAACATCTCAATCATGTCAACGGACGAAACAAATTCAAGCTGCTTTGGACCAGTATAATAGTAAATTGATTTCAAGAACTTCATTCATTGAATTAGTTACATACAAATACAAAAAACGTGTAAGTATTAAAACAGTGAAGTATAACAGCAATTAATACGTATACCTTCCTGAATTTCCTTTTTTTAAATTATAAATTATTTCCAGGTTATTCCACCTTCAATTAACAGCGAAACATAAAATGCTATAAAAACAAATTTTTCAAATCAAGTTAAGTATGTAAGTAAGTTTGTACTATCGAAATACTGTCGAAAAAATAATAGATTTTAATTTTGGTGCAAAATACAATTCCTATTTCTTATTACCTGATGGTGCAAATTACAAACGCATTTTAAAAAAATGGTGCAAATTACACATGTTGTAAATATTTTGGGTCAATTTTGATTCAAATTGACTACAGCCGAATTAGGTAGGGTTATGGAGCTACCTGAAAATGCCTGGTCCTACCACTGGCCTGACCTTAAACATAATAATATAATAATTTTTTACAAGCATAATTATTTTAAAATAGTTTTGCCATAATTCTGTAATAATTTAAAATTTGAAAATATACTTACTAGTTCATATTAATTATTATGATAATTATTATTTTTTTTTTTTTGCTGAAATCTCATTTTTGTGGAATTCCCATATAATTGCTGATAGTGTTGGATTAGCTTAAAAAATTTGACCGGGAAAACCACTAGTGCTTTTTTTAAATTTTTTTTTAAATTATTAGAGACATCGCAGACTACAGACTTTATATCGGCCGATAGTTTAGTCGGGTTGGGCTGCTATCGCGCACACTGGGCCAACTAAACAGTTTAATTGGTGGTGGTACGCAAACTGGTCAATAGTCGGCTGACTGCTCTGAAAAGATTTTTTAATTGTGCTGAATTCTGCTGACGATAGCAGTCGCTTTTTAGTATACTTTTATTATACCTTCCCGCTCCAAAACTCTGGTGAATCGGCCGAGTCGGCAGACTAAAAATCGGCAGTGTGCGCGCGTGGAATTATCGCCATACTGATTAAGCAGTCGGCCGATAGATCGCCGACTGTTTAGTTTGAAGGCAATCGTGCAGCCCATCAAACTTATTAATCGACCGATACCAAATCGTTATAATGTGCGCTCTTGCTCATAACTTTGTACTGATTAAGAACTCGACTAAACTATCGGTTGATATAAAGTCTGTAGTCTGCGATGTCTCTAAAAGATATTTGATATATATATATATATATGATATATTAATATGATATTTATAGGACAATTTCAAAATGGATTTATTAACAACTCATACTTGTATAATATATTTGTTTGGTTAATTTAGATTGAATCTAATAAATTCTATTGTACATTACATACAAATGGAACAAAAAAAACAAGACAAATCATGAAATTATAGTCATTATATTATAGCATTTTCCTTAATATCTTAAAATGTAAATACATATTGTAAATAACATAAAATAACTCAAAAAACTAATTATGTTTAATGTGTTATACGATATGTTATGATTTAAAAATTGGAGAATTTATAATATGTTAATATACGAGTGAAGGATTTATTTGTTTTTCCTTAAATCATTACTTATTATATTATAGATTTTTAATATTACCTCTCCGATGATTGTGTCGGTCTGCCTCTTGACAACCGTAGTTGACTCTTCAGGTATGGAATAAGGTGACCAATTTATATTTTAAAATTACAATAACTTAACTCACTTATATTAATTTTATTTAAATTACTTATACACACATTAATACACTTATTTTAAACTTTTACCGAACGTTTTACAATTACTTATATCTTTCTGCATAGACGATCTGAGTAGTCTTTTACACTCGCCTTTGACCGTCTATACACAGGGATAAAAAGAACGCGTCTCCCCAGTATTTGAAAATTTTGCTCCTTATATTTAATATCGCCTGTGTGTGTGCGCGTGTATGTTTCATATTTTATCTTTAGTACTTATGACTTATTCTTATATTTAATGTGTACTGATTATTATAATTATTTAATTGTACATTCAATTTTTTTTAAATATATGAATGCTTAGGTGCATATCATTACGGATACATCAAACCAAATTAATTGAAACTTTTTTTAATTATGAACTAATATAACAATATTACTTCGTCAATAATGTTTTCATAGGTATGTTAAAGATCAATAAACGATGATAACACACCACTTGAAGCACCGCATAACGGCATTTGCAGGTGGTTAATGTATTGTCGATTGTTCTCCAAAAAAAAAAGTAAGTATTTGAATTGTTCCAAAAAATAAATAAATAATTTATTAAAACTTATCTAATTTTCAATAAAATGAATAAAAACAAAAAATAAAATATAAGTATTGCCTTGAGTATTATATAATGAAGAGCTAATAAATACAACTACATTCGATTTTAAAAATCATCGTCAGGTATAAAAAGTGCATAGAATATAAAATAAAATAAAATGAAAACAATTTTTACACAAAGAAAACATTTTTTTAGTTTAATAATAATGCCTATAAAAGTTTTATTAAAACATATTGTATTTTTTATGAGTTGATTATTTTTTATTTTTTCTTATTTACCAATTATTATATATTAGGTTTGGATCTCATTAAGCGTTTTGTCGATTACCGATTAAATGTTGGTATCGGAGTAACGAAATTTAAAAACCACGCGAATCCTTATTGATTCAAACGTTATATACTATACATTATAAATTTACAACTGATTATTGATTTAGACGAACAGTTTTATTTAGCCATTTCTCTACGTACAAACATTCTGTTACCTTACGCTTACATGCTTTTTTTGTTGCGATAGTCTTTGTTGCTATATTCGTTTGAAAGTCATATTCTAAATGCATGGATAATTTTGAACTTCCAAAATTAATTTTTCCATATGGAATATTAGTTCATAGTAATAACATAGTTATTAACAGGGCTAGGATTTGTATGCAACAGCATATTTTTTTGCGACTTCTGATTATTGATTTTGTCAGTAATATCCACGAATCACCTCATGATGAGGTAAATGGTGGTGTTTTTATTTTGCTTATTTTTGCATACCTTGGATAAAATGCATATTATTGCATATATATTAAATAAAATGAATATTATTGCATATTTCAATTATAAGAAATTAATGTTTTATTGTATATTTCGTATTTATTTTTAACCCTGCTGATTAAAGTATAAAACTTGGTTTTTTTGTCAAACATAAATTTTATTTTATTTTTCAATTACATTATATTATTACAAACAGCCAACCACTGATGTATTTCAATAAATAAATATTTTCTTTTGTAATAATATTTTTGTGTTTATCTTATAAAAATTTAAATACATAATTTTGCACATTTTGGTACATAAAATGCATATTTTACAATTTTTTATTGCATACAAATCCTAGCCCTGGATATTAATTAGTTATTATAGAGTTAAAAATAGTTAATTTTTATTTTAATTAATTAATTAAAAATATTTTCTTTATAATTAATAAAAAAAAAAATTATATATTGATACCTATATTTTGAAAATGTTTTTTTAGAAATATCAGACGCACTGCAAATACATTTCCACAGCTCTCCACTTAAGAAAATACATACCAGTCGTTTGTGCTTTATGTGTGCCATTCTCGTCCCCTCTCCAATATAGGGGCCCAACAAAATGGTAGCTCCCCACTTGAGAAATATCATAAGCCCACCATGTTAATTATTTTTTTTCTTAACAAATTATAATACGTTTATGAAAATTCCCATTTTATATAACTTTGGCAATTAAATTTAAAACTACTGAATCTATAATGTTAACAGTAAATAAATTTAAAAAAATTAACTTTGGATTTTCGCTATGTTATATAGTGTTGATAGTGTTTCAACTATTTGTCAGAGTAGACAGCTTTTAAGCCCCTCTTAAATACGTTTCTGATGTATAGAATAAAAAATATTACGATAATGATTCGCAACACAATAATAATATATATAAAACGTTAGACGTTCGAACGTCAATACACGGTGTTTACGAACGACGCAATAGTACGACGACCGCCGACCATGTAGTTCTACGGTCTACAGCGGCGGAGTGATTTATAATCGATTGGTTGGCGGAGGGGTGGAAGAGGAAAGTAGTTCTCACTCACACGCGCTATCGATTATCAGTGTGGCGGTGGAGAGCAGCTCAGCTGCGACGGCAACAGCAGGTCATCCTCCTCTCGCTTCGTCGGCGGCGGTTGTTTACGTTTCGCGACACTCGTAGCGTGCTCGCGCACGCGCACTGTTCCCCGCACGACCATCGGTGGAACACTCTCCGTGGAGTTCTCTCTCCTCCGTGCCCCGTACACCCCGTAGCCTACCCGCCGGTCGGAGAGGATTTCCCATTGTGTGGTGCGCGTGTTGTTTTGTGTTCATTCGTCAGCTGTTTGCTATCCGCTGTGGACGCGCGCGCATTGCCGTCGACTGTTCGCTCCGCACGCAGTACTCCGCACTCGCATTACATATTATAACGATATTATTATTATAACGTACGCGATTTCTTGTTTATCGTCAACGGAGAGCGGTTTGGTTTTTCGTTCTGTGCTTTTTCACATTTCCGAGTCACCGCCGTCCTCGTAATTACTTTTTCGTCTCGCACGCACATCGACTGCGGTAATATTTCTGTCCGGGCCACTCGACCGCGTTTCGTCCGCGTCCACCGACTGCTGGTAGTAGCAACAGCGACGACTTCTTCACGCAACTACACAGCTTAGCCGCCGCCGACCCGCGCACCGTCGCCGTCGTCTGCGCAGGTAAATCTCCTCCGCTCACGGTTTAATATTATTTTCCTGTTCTCGCGATCCGATTACGCCGCCACCGACCGTAAAAAGTTGCACCGGTAGTTTATCCTTTTAAATCGTTTTTCTCAACAAAAGAACAAGAATTTTTTTTCAGAACTAGATTGAAACAGCATTATAATTTATATTTATCAAGAATATAAAAAAGCTTTATTTATACCATCCGAAATAACAACCGTTAACCCTATCTGCTTGGTATTGCGTAGTTCACTATAATTGTATTACCTCTGTCTACCGTCGCCTTGTGCGCACGTGCGATTTACCTACGTACATTTATTATAGAATTGTTGCGCAATGATTGTTGTGATTTCACGTCGCACTGAGTATTCTTGCATTGAATTTTGCGTACTATACTGTACTGTACTTTGTTTTGATTTAATCGTTAGTTTAATAGTCGTTGTTATTATCAGTTATCATAAGTTTAATATAATATAGCCGTTGATTATAGTTGACATTATAGGATTAGAAGTATTATTTATAATTTTAATGATATTGCGTATTTACTGGCTACAAACCTACCTCCTACGCTTATTATATTATTATCATTATGTGACCGGATTATCCACATTTCTTTCTTTGTGTTACTACTGTTATTAGTCGTTACTCATACACGAAAGAATGATTTATTTATTTAAAATGTAATAATGTGTTATGTATTTTTTTTCTACAGTGTTATACTATTTGCGTAACTTCCTATATGTGTATTTTGTATAACTATTCTGTTATGATGAACTTGTGTGTATCCTAAACACATGCGATGCGTTTTTTTTGTTCTCGAACATGCGTTCGCAGTTATCGATTTGTTAACGTTGTCGGTTATTGAAATTCGTGTTCACAAATCGCAGTCCGTTTGAATGTACAACCTTAATTTACAATATATTATACTAAAGTACCATATTTATTATTTCCATCGTACCTGAAATTAAAATTACGTATTTCATGTATGAAAACGATTTTAAAGATTTTAAAAACACGCACACGTGTATAGTTTGATATGATAATACGCAAATGTTTACTCATTACAACGAACATTATCTGTGATATTATTTTTATATTTTTTTATTTAATGCGTATGCCGAAAATCATAAATAAATTATCTGTATATTTATTTGTGTTTTTATTAATTATTCCATTTTATCCTCGATTTAACCTAATGCTTATTGTTTTTCACATAACTTGTTCAGATTGGTTAGGTAGCTCATCTGATTCAAAGTGAAAGTTTTCTACTAATGGATAAGTTAATATGTTAATGTTCACGAACATTTTTACATCGAATTTAAAGAAATACATGTATTTTTCATTTATCGTTTTCTGTGTATAACTGACGTAATTTATATTGATATAATAAAATATATTCATATACCTATCACATAGAATGAGATTTATTTCTTCTTTATACAATGGTATTTTTTTAATAACCCGTTCCATACCTCTTATACACTCTTGTGTTTGTATGTGAAGAACATAATTTTATAATTATTACACGGCAAAATTACAGTTATTTTATTTTATAATTTATTCGTCCGACAATGTTTAGTAATATGTGTGTAATATTTAAATAAAATATAGAATAGCTATTATGTAGATTATGAAATTACCAGTATTTAGAGTATAGGTTTTGATGTTGTTCAACCGCATTATTTATCCATTATACAACTTGTTAATGTCAATCATATTACCTTAACTATTTGTATTGTTTCCATTTCAAAAATTTGATGATAGAAAGTCGTACATCTATAATTTAACTATAATTATTAGTACAGACATAATTTCGAGATCAGTTTATTATAACATAAAGTCTATGTAATAATAATAAAAATAAATGAATACATTTTTTTTTTATAATTGTTTTATGCATTTTTATGTTAACGTGTTATTTTAATTGAATATGGTTTACGTCGTTTTATTCGATAAAGTATATGAACTTTATATTAAGTAAGTTCATTGCCTTAAGCTGTTAACAATTCGTGGCAAACATTATAATTTTTTTATGTATTATTTAGTTAGTTGACTATCAATTAACTTTTTTGGTTTTCGATCTTTTCGTTATAATTAATTGCTTAAAAGTGTAGGTAATTTATTGTGTTCATGATAAAATCATTTATGTCTAAGTAATCTTGATAAAATTTACGTATTGGTAACTAGAGCTTTGTCTCTAAGTAGTTTTTATATTGCGGCGTACCAAAAATCAAACCAAAACCTTCCTTATGGTTATATAGTTTTATAAATATTATGTAGAATACTTGTAGATTAGTATAAAACTTGAAAATCGACTATTATTATTTATTCATATACTGTTTATTTTCTCTATTAACTATTTTCGTTTAAACTGTCCTGAGTTATTATGGTATACAGTTTAAACCGAATGGAGTAAGAATACAATGTTTCCAAAGTTAGTTATGAAATTTAATTTAAAGTCGATTAGTGTACCTCTATATGACGTAGTATGTTGCATAAAATAATAAATAAAATTATTTATAAGGTACTTTATATAAAATATATTATAATTTTCTTATTAAAAAAAGCAATAAATTATTTTAATTATTAATTTAATCATAAATATTATATTGTTTCATTCTTATCTTATTTATTGTCTATTATTTTTACCAAGTAAACAGTGTAAAACAAACATTTCTATATTTAACTCAAATAAAGTACCCATATATATTTTTTTACCTAATAATAAAATAACTATACGTAATTGTGTATTTAATTTTTTGTTTTTGTTAGATCTACTTATATTTTTCAGTAAAAATTAGAAAAAGTTAAATTTAGTATATACAATTCATATAGGTTTTTTTTTTTGCAACTTTATGTTTGTGTATAATTTTAACTAGAAACCTAATGATGTTATAATGTACTCGTATAATGGTCGTCGATAAGCTATTATTATAATTAGCTGTAAATTTTTTTTTGAACTACATTGGAACTCATACGGCTTAAATTTATATATTATGTTATTTGTAAACATTTTAATTAAATTATTTTATTACGCTTTTTAGTTTTATATTAAATAATATAATTTTAAAACATTTTTAAAAATTAAGTGTACATAAATAAAATGTATTTTGAATTTATTTTTCATTTTATGAATCGTGATGTATTTTATAACATGTAAGATGATATATTGATATTCAGTACCTTAATTTTTAATTAATACAATTTTTTTAATATTTATCTACTATGTTTCTATTAAATAACTCATATTTAAAAATAAATAAATATTTTCAAGTTAATTTTGAATTTTACTCTATTTTATAGTTTTATTATCTATAGTTCAAAATAATCTTTAAGTTATATAATTTCTGTGTTTCTACTTATCTAAATCAATAATTATTATGTATATATTACCTATATTTTTACTAATTAAATACCTAACGCCAAACTTGAAATTAGTTTTCTGATAATAATGAACAAATAGGACGAAAACAAAATTAACTTTCTGTTGTTTAATGAATAATTTCTTATCCATAAAGCTTTTGTGTTTGATATTTGTGTTGATAGTATAAAAGTATTGTATACATTCATATTATTCGTACTCCTTCATTGACTCATTGCTCGTCTTTTGTTGGTAGTTACAGCATTGAACCTTGATAATAAAAATAATGGAATACTCAGTTATATATTTATAGGATTTGAATATTTTGGGCATTAAGGAAATTATTACTTTATGCGTATTATCATCCTTTTTTTATTTATAATTATTTTTCATTTTTAAGAAGCGTTTGCTCGTCAGTGATTTACTTCATGAAATGTCTTAATGTTCATTGGATATCACATATTCGTATACGTTTATATTTAAAATGTAATTTAATTCGCTAATCTTCAGTTGTTAATTTCGTATTTAATTTATTTATATTTTTATTTTTTATTATTATTTATTAAGTACGACTTTTTCTCGAAGTTTTGGTATTATTTACTGTTTGCGGTTCGACGAAATCATATGATAATCAACGGTAATTAGTACGTGATTATAACATATTTGCCGTTAAATCGTATATAATGTGTCATCATTTAAAATCCGTTATGTTCGTGGAATCTGCTGTATTTACATTGCATTTGTATTTATAAATATTGCGTTTGAACAATAGTTGGTTTTATGAAAAATTCTCATAGAAATCGAGACGTTTCCGGCATCGTACGTTTTCTCGTAAACGCGGCGCGATGATGTGGGCGATAATAACCGTGTGCACAGTTGTTTGGCTGAAAAAATCCGTTCGCGAATCCAGCGGCAGCAGTGGTATCTGTATTATAGTATGCGCCGTTTCCCCTACCACTTCCCCTCGGGTACATTGTACCTGGAGAGGGCATTGACAGCTGCTGTCCACCGAAAAAAATAGTTGAAAATAATAAACTGACGGCGACGGCACGCAGTATTGCTTCGTACAACTTTCAACAGTTGTTGACCCCCTTCATCCTTGAAGGGGGAACGCTTGAGGTGATTTTTATTATTTTGAGGGTATACAGGGCTTTCATACTTCGTGATGTTCAATAGTTTACCATCCCTTGTCGCGAGAACATAGAAATCGCATTCGATGAACTCTGCAATAAATAGCACTTTTCTACGTCTCATTTATTAATATAGTATAGTATTTCCATATAATTTTATTAACTTATAATCTATTTATAACAAATCATAACTGAAGACGTGTATCGTGTATTTGATTGTATTGAGAAGTGTTAAATATATTTGACAAAATTTTTTCTTTTATGTTAATTTTCCTGTTCATTTCCTTGTTCAGAATACGTATTAATATGCGTTTTGAATTTTTCACATATATTATTATAACATTTTAACGTAATAATTGTACTTATTCGCAAGCATTATCTTCTTATAGATTAATTTTTACTTATCCATTACCTACAAATAGTAGAGAAAACTATTGTTACATTTATGTGCCAAATAAAACTATATTGATGATAACGTTTTAATATATAGTTCTAATTCTAGGTAT